ACCTTTGGGAATTCACATTTGTTGCTCAACATGTTTGTGAGATTTATCCCCATGGAATTGTGTAGTTGTGGTTCATTTTCACTGTCATTGCTGTTCACTGATTGTATACAATGAATTTATCTATTCTCCTATCGTTTGAATTATGGTGTTGAATTATTTTTATTGAATTGTTGTTTCCAGGTTTTTGCTATTACAATTTGTACTGCTCTGAACTTTCTTGTGCTGGTCTCTTTATGTAAATGAGCAAGAGTTTCTTTAGGGTATATACCTAGAAGAGGTCTATTCAGGTTTTGCAAGGTAACACCAAATTATTTTCCGAAGTAGTTGCACCAATTTGCACGTCTGCCAGCAATGTGTAAGAGTTTCTCTTGCTCCACACCCTCACAACACTTGATTTGGTCAGGTTTTTACATTTTTGCCAATTTGATGGGTGTGTAAGTTTGCCTTTCCTTGATTTTTAATGAAGTTAAGCTTCTTTTCATCTGTTTATTGGTGAATTTTCATCTGTAAGATGATTGTATATATTGCCTATTTTTCTATTTTGTTGTCTTCTTACTGATTTTTTTGGAGTTCTTTAGTGTTTATTTGATTAATTTGTTGTAAATATCTTTTCTCAGTCTTTGGTTTGTCTTGTCATCATCTTTGTGGTGTCTTTTCATGAATACAAGTTCTTAATTTTCAAGGTTGATTTATTCATTTTTTTGATTTTATAGCTTATGCTTTTTATTTAAGAATTTTTTTCCCTATTTAGATGTCATAGAGATATTCTCCCATATTTTCTTCCAAAAGTTTGAAAGATCTTCCTTTCACATTTAGGCCTTTTATTCATCTGAAATTGATTTTTGGGTACGGCCTGAGGTAAAAATCAAATTTAAGTATTTTGTCACAGATAATTGTGTTAGTTTCCCATTACTGCTGTAACAAATTACCACTATCCCTGTACCTTAAAAGGAGCTCTAGTGGCACAGTGGTTAAAGCTTCCCTTAGCTGGGTGTTCATGTGAAACTGGAATAGTGAGGTATGTCTGTGTACCTCACAGG